ATACGTGTTTACTATAATTTGACGTAGTATTTACCCTGCCGTTTATTCGGTGTTATCTGACACTGAACGTATACGTCAACACAGCAATTTTAAACTTACCATATTTGAAAGAGAAAACACACGACGATGTCTTTACTAACTCCCATCTTGAGTTCGTTACAATGACATCATTGGTACTAGTTCGACACCATCATTGTCATGACATCACGATGACACACGACGTGGATACGTGGCACCGATATTCATTGAAATTATCAAATAATATGCATAACAATTCCAACAGAAAGTCGCAAATATCGAAATACGTTAAATGCTTTAAATATTTAGCATTAGTTTCTCTGTAAACGGGTATACCGGTATGTATAATATGAAATTACGAGAAAACAGACTGCCAACAAACGACGAAGCTGCAGTTAGCATATGGTTCGGATACGAATGTGAAGACAGTGTTCGGTTCGATTCACGTACGATTCGCGTTCGATTCACGCAGGATTCGCGTTCGATTGGCGTACAAATTGAAATATCTCTAATTTACACAAAAGTTCATATATAGCAAATTTTGTGTAGGAAAAATAGGTATCAACCTATTTCTTTTGGAAAAAATCATGGTTATAAATAGTCCTACAGTCTTGCTCACATCGGAAGTCACGTGGACTCAAACGAGTATGTATAAAATAGCCTTAGAAACGCGTAAATATGAAAAGAAATTGAATCTTATGTAGAAAATTATATAGTCTCAAATTATCACCACTCAATTTAAAAACAAATAAAATCTTTGAAACAAGGACGTTGATGATGTTTTTATTTATAATCATTGTCCTTTGACATTCCGCGCATTCACAGACAAGTCAAGGAACTTTCATACGTACTATGAAAGTATTTATAACCACGATTTCCATAGAAAATACTAAATTGATCTCTATTTTCCTCAGCACAAAAATATTGTTAAATTAGCTGAAATTGCTATATATCAACATTTGAGTGACTTATAGATATTTCAATGGACGTTTCAATCGTACGTGAATCGAACCGAATGCTGTCTTCACACTCGTGGTTCGGATTCGGTTTTAATATTAATTTCCGGTTCTGGTCTGAGTCACTGAAAACATTTGAATAGAATTTAAATGAAGCATTTAAACAAAAAGTAACATAGGATAAAACATGGAGGTAATATTACCTCCATGGATAAAATTATAAGCAGTATGTTTACAACATTATTTAAGTATTTAAACATTCCAAACAGTTCGGGCTCTGATGCGCAAGGAGCTCTGGGAAGGAGAATGGTATTCCACTTCAGAATAGCTGTAATAACCACAGTGGTCATCAGGGTCATGATCATTAATAGGAGGCGTCGAGAAAGGCTTGATAGCCCTTTCGTGAAATCTCAGACTAGTACTGTAGTATTACTAGTCTGAGTCTGAGGTGAAATGAAGAAGGAAGTTGAACCTCGAGCATTACCAGCGTGTCGGCTGCAATGATGAAGGTGTTCCCTGATTCGGATTTATATCGGGGTTCGGATTTGAGTAACTAAAAGCAACACTACATTTCCAAATAGTAATACGTTTATTCCAATTAACCATAGACTCTGTACAAAAGGGATAGGAAACATGGGCAAACTACATAGGAATTTAATTGTTTGCAAGATATGTTGTAATTCTTAAATTTAGAGTTGGATTAATTTTGGTTAAAGGGTGGTGGTCGTCACACAGTGCGTATTCGAATTTCATGTAAAGGAAAATGTATTTCACATTCGTTGTATACGTTGCTATGAGTCCCATATCGATCAGGACGCGGCGTGATGACCACCGTACTTTGAATGAAAGTGTCGGAGTGGACAAAACATCAATTATCAAGTAAGATATTTGTATCAACAAATCGTTTTATATTATAATAGTACGTAATCATTTAGGATCAAAATAGTGATTTTGTGATTTTTAGGGTTCCAAAGTGTGTTAATGTTGGCAAAGCGGCAGTTTATACGCACTTCTCTAAAAATCAAATCACGAACGTGTCAATCATCTCGTTGTATATCGTACAGAATAGAATAGTACTTTATTGACACCGTAAAGAAAAAAAAATGGTTATAGACATCAAATGAAGTTGAAATGTTGAAAACATTAGTAATGTATTAAGTAAAAATATATAATAAAATTAGCAACATTACACTATACTACTATTATTCTTATTGTGAAATTGGTCCTTTCATACATACTTTGATAATAAATTTGACAATGGTTAGTCAGTGTTTGTTTTTTACATTGAAATAAATAGTTACTTAGAGCATATATAATTGTATATTTTTCTCCTTTGTCTTTGTTTCTGAAGTCTTGGTTGTTTAACTCTGTGACATTGTACAAAGTATTTCTATATTCTGTGTACATATTACAGTCTATTAAGTGGTGTATTTCATCTTCTATTTGGTTACAATGTGTGCATAGACTTTCTTCCATTTGTGTTTTGTGTATTGTATAGTTACCTGTTTCTATTGCTAGTCTATGATTACTTGTTCTAAATTTGGCCAATTCTCTGATATGATATCGGCTATAAGTGTAAATGTATTGTTCCATGTTGAGATTGTCTTTGTATGTATGATAAATCCGTAACTTTGCTTTGTCTCTCGTATTATCTTTTTCTATAATGCACTGTAGTATTGTTTTGTGGGATATTGTCTATACATTTTTGTAAATTGAAGATTTTAAGATTTTGTTGTAGCTTTGACAACCAGGTTCCCGTATACTTATTTTCTTTCATATCCCGTAGTACATAGTATGCCAGATTTGTATTTCAATTCCTTGTAGATATTGGTAGTATTTGCAATTGATTGCTGCACTGTATATGTCGTTTATTAATGTTTCTCTCCCCGACTCCATAAGGCATGCTGTTTTACTTGATTTTGTTATTCAAGCATAGAGTGTTTCTATAGAATTTGATATGAAATTTCTCTGTCCCTGTTTCGTCCCAAATAGATGAATTTGTCAAGATACCCCAAATTTCTTCCGCAAATGTTAATATTGGGATCTGCGTTGTGTTCAAGAGCTTCAGTTAGATGTGTATATTGTTTGTATTATTAGAGTATATTTGTGATTGCACTCGTTTTGCCTTGTCTGCCAGTCAGCTTCATTTTGTTTGTATACTTCCATTTCTGTGTGTGATTATATTTGTAGTGATTCTGTTATATGTTAGACTTGCATAGTACAACTTTTTGTTTGTTTTGAGCATGTTTTTTTTCAATGAAAACTGGCGAAAGCCGGGTTACCAGAAAAGTCGGCAGAGAACCTGGTATTCGCCATTTATACACTCACATAATATTTAATTTTAACAAACAGAACAAGTAAGAGACTGTATACAAGTATACCTACATGTATTAACAATCCATGCTCTTTGATAATGAGTTTGTCTCATTATTTTCAAATTGGGAGAATCCCGCAGATCAGGAGATAAATGCCATGGAATACGCGGCAATTTCCAAATTGGAGCCACATGACATTTAGAAATGTACGTTTTATTTGTTTTCATACAAAGGGTAAAACTCAAGCTATGTAATAAATTTGTTTATAATAATACTAATAAAATCTTTTAATTCCAGATCAGACTTATACAAATCATAGAATAAGAACATTCAAATACAAGATTTTACAATATGACTGTAGACTTAAAAAAAGAGGTTGAAGATAAATACCTAGCATTACGTAAGATATCGCTATACGTAAAATGTATCAATTAATACAAGGGTAACAGAAGCGTTCCTAATAAAATACCAAAAGCGTTGATGTAGGTCATATTTAAGTTCAGTTCTTGAAGACACGTAAAAGGTGGTGGTCGTCGCTCCACGCATGTGAGATATGGGTCTCATATAAACGAAGATGGCGATTTGATAAAGATGACTGTAAAAAAGTACAAAATGATAGGTTACCAAGCTTTAACTGGGTACATTTTTTGTGTGTTTTTTTTAGCGTAGAAAACTTTCATTTGCCAGGACATTATGTTCAAGAAAAGATCACCCGTGTACGTAAGTTTGTTGTATTCTATACTTGAAAAACATTTCTCAATTCATTCATTCATTCATTCATTCAATCTATCTATAATATCAATCACATGACATTTGCGTTTCCAGTCTCTACAATGCTACGAAATAGAACAAATCTGATCCCTTACCAAATCATTACGGTTATATACAATGCATAAACTATATACTAAACATCTTTATACTTACATTAAACAAGGCGAATTGTGCACCAGATCAGTATTGAGGGGGGGGGGGAGTTCTCTGTCAAATTTCATTAGAAATGAAATGACCTTGTAGTCCAGCTCATCTAACATAATTGTGTATTGTATTAACTTTATTCAGATTTGAATATTAATGTATAAGCCCTTTCATTTTAATGACTGTGATTTCTACAGAGGGCGCCCTAGTTACCACTATAACAATTAAAAGCACATGCCAATCCCCACGACCTCAACTGCAGAGGGCGCCCTACTTACTACTCCCTCTATTATGCAGGGGCGACCTACTTACCAATCTACAAGTTTAGGGTGCACACCTGTCTACTTACTCGCCATCCCCTCAACACCAGAGGGCACCCTAATTACTCACTATCCCCCTACTTTACAGAGGGTATCCTACATACTATCCTTTTTACCCTGAAGAGGAACCCTACAAACTCTCTACCCTATCTACTTTGCAGATTTCATCCTACTTTCTCACTACCCCTACTCTACAGAGGACATCCTCCTTACTCAATACTCCTTCCACTCCGCAAAGGGTATTCATACATATTCACTACCCCACCTCAACTACACAGATGGTGTGCTACTTACCACTACTCTACAGATTAAGAGCACACACGTGTCTAATTACTCACTTCCCCTTAAACTCTGTAGAGGGGACTTACTTACTCACAGGGCGACCTACTTGGTCATTACATCTCTGCTCTGCAGAAGGCGCCTTAAATCACAGGGTTAACAATTTTAATATGTAACAGTGAACATTTGTTAGGATCTTTGAGACAACCAGTGACTATAATTGAAAAACTTTATTCTCACCAATAACTTTGAATGATCATATTGTAAAAAAATAAACAGATTACGAATACAGACTTTCTTTTATTGAACAACTGGTTTTTGGATGATTATTTGATCAGCCAACAAGCGTATAAGCTTGTGAATTACACATAAGCTTATTAAACTATTATTTCTAAATATTAGAATATATTATTTTTTTTAAATGAATTAATTAATTAGATGTCAATGTCCCAGTCTTCTGATTGTAACACAGCCATGTCTATACACAGCAACTGGCATATAACCAACAGTAGTCCAAGTATCATCAACAACATCATATGTTTCTATAGTTTCTACTGCACCCAGGTTGCTTTGGTAATAACCACCAAATACATATATTCTGCCATTGCACACAGTCATGCCTGGGTCAGTGCGACCAACAATTTGAGGCGATTTAAGTTGCCATGAGTCAATCAAAGGATCGTAACAATACAGCACACCAGTGACATCACATATCACATAAATAGCACCGTTCAATGTGACAGCAGTGCAAGCTGGTTGTTGCGCTGTGAGAGTAGGACAGGAAGAAACAATACTCCATTGATCTAAGAGAGGATCATAGCACTGACTAGGTGGAGGGTTAACATCAGAATAGCCTCCAATTACATATATTTTACCATGGCATACTGTAACGCCAGGCTTTCTAGCTGTGTGAATCATTGGTGTTGTCTCAGTCCAAGTATTTTTAGCAGGGTTATACTTCTCAACACTAGTGACACTGGCCCAGTTAACATCTTTGCCGCCCAGTGCATAAACCCATCCATCCAATACTACACATCTCTGAGACCATCTCCCTTTCAATAACGGACTAGATTTATGCAACCATTTCTTTTGTTGCCATTTGTACAAAAGAGATTTTCCTCTACGTGAAGAAACAAAAATGTTGTTTCCCAATGAAACAGCGGTAGCTACTTGGTCTTTGTGAAGAGGAAGCTCCGGTAAGCTGCTCCATTTTCTGGTTTTTGGATCATAGACTTGTACTTGACATTCGTGCCCCACAACATTACCACCAAGAATAACTACTATTTCCGAAAACACGCGTGATTGGCAGCAAGGTATTGAGGAGAGTTCAGTTGCTGTCATAGTTCTGTACTGTTTCACCTTTTTGAGCATATCATTAAGACCATCCCACCTTTTCAACGCTTCATGTGTTTGAATCTTCTCTTCAAGATACTTTTCATCTATGAACATAAATCGCACAAAGTTAAGAAGTTTGAATAAAATTTGTTCCCGAGCTTCTTCTTGATGACTCCAAGCCAAAACAGCTTCCAAAATATCTTCTTCTCTGCGCACCTGTACATTATCTGATGACAAGTACACCAGTAATGAATCCTTGGGAAGCGCTAACAATTCTTCCTCTTTGCTTACTTCAGAGAAATTTTCCATGATAAACATCTTGGCTTTCTTACTTAAAGCTTGACAGGTGTGAAGTTCAGCAAACTGTTGAATGCCAAGACAGTTGGTAAAATCAATTTGTCTCTCCAAGTATGTGGCACAGGCATTTTTGATTTCAAGTACTTGAATTAAATCTGATGTTTCCAATAAAGACTGAACATTGTCATCAGTCAAAGTAAGTTTGGATGTGTACATGAATTCAATAATTAATCCCAATGAGGTGGGGTCCACTTCGTGTAAGGACACTCTAGTCTGGTTTTTGAGATCATGAGAAAATAACGCCTGGAAATAAGTGCTACATGATGCAACCACAACTCGGTGACAGGGAAATTCATGTTCGCCAACACAGATGACTACATCAAAGAATTTTCTTTGAAATTTCATATCCTGGATACCTTTGAGAAGATTTGCAGCATGGTTCTCATGGGTGAAATCAAAACCAGGCACAGAAGCCATGCTGGATGAGGTAAACACTGCAACCAAAAAGGAAAAGTTTGTATAAATAGTATATTCGCAAATCTATTTTAACATCTGACTGTGTTAAATTCTGCATGTTAGTGTTCAAAAAGCAGTGGTGTTGTATACATCACCATGGACCCATAGAGAAAACACAGTGGTGAGATGATCACTGCTCTTTATCTCATAACATGGTGTTCAATGCTGTTATGATACATGTGAAGCTGTTTATATTTAATATATATTTGATAGCATATGATTTATTAATTCCTGTTATAGTAATCAAAAGTGCACACAGTGCAATCTTCACATGTTAAATTTGTTTTTATGTTCATTCAAAAATGTATAAATTTGACCAATTAACATTGACTTTGTTAAAGGACTGTAATTCCAGAGGTGTAGTCATTTGTTCTGTCATTCATTTTAAAGCAGGGGAGTCGTCACCTTGCTTGTTTATATATTCATTCATTCATTCATTCATTCATTCATATACATTCATTGTTGTGCTAATCAGTATACGCACAGAGGTCATAACAGAGAAAAATTCACATACCCCATTTGTAGCTCCAAGACCCACATTTTTTTACACACCCTCAAAATACCAGACCCCCCACACTGTTTGTGATGCCAGCCCACTGAGCCCCCAGTGCCAATCCAACCATCGCCCATGTTTACTGGGCTCCCAGTGCCCATCCCACCATTGTCCATGTTTACTGAGCTCCCAGTGCCCATCCAACCATCACCCACGTTTACTGGGCTTCCAGTGCTCATCCCACCATCACCCATGTTTACTGGGCTCCCAGTGCCCATCCCACCATTGTCCATGTTTACTGGGCTCCCAGTGCCCATCCCACCATCGTCCATGTTTACTGGGCTCCCAGTGCCCATCCCACCATCGTCCATGTTTACTGGGATCCCAGTGCCCATCCAACCATCGCCCATGTTTGCTGGGCTCCCAGTGCCCATCCCACCATCGCCCATGTTTACTGGGCTCCCATTGCCCATTCCAACATCGTCCATGTTTACTGGGCTCCCAGTGCCCATCCCACCATCGCCCATGTTTACTGGGCTTCCAGTGCCCATCCCAACATCGTCCATGTTTACTGGGCTCCCAGTGGCCATCTAAACATCGCCCATGTCTATTAAGCTCCCAGAGCCAATCCCAATACCACACATGGCACATGACTGACAGGCAAACTAAATAATTATTATAATAATAATTTGACTCACAAAATGCGAGCACCGCAATGTACAAACAGCTTCGACGACGCAAGATATAAATCCAGGGATGGAGGATGATTGAAATTAACCAAGTATTCGGACTAATATCATTTGGATTCGGTTTCACGGTTTCGTATTCGTTGGAGAGAATATTTGCCAAGTTACTAAATCGAATGGCAACTGAACAACAAACAACGTTTTAAGGCATGTAGTTATGGCATGTGTGAATCAAAGCGACGCATTATTGGTTTATATCAAACGAATTATTACCACAACAAGTAATTCGAGCGAATATCGATAGTTCGCCATTGGCAGCGATATCAAAACACATTCTTGGCATTCAGGGTGTTGCTTCTTTAAAAACTTGCATATGATTTGGATCACTTAAATTCTGTGGATAGAATGCTTGGCGAGAAACGTTTGTTTCCCTGCATTTTTCCACAGTTTATTTTCATTTCAGACTAGTAATTGAGTTCCCATTGTGTCATGTTGTCGACAATACACATTGGGATCCCTTACACTCCCTCACCCTTGATGTGATTGGCCTTTCCTTGTGATACTATAGATTATTACGTAATCTTGAATCAAAGTAAATCAATTGTTCGGGCCGGAAAATTCGAAAAAAGAAAAAAGGAAAAAGGTCAAAATCTCACAGTAAAGTGCCTCAAATGACGAGAATGGGCACACGTATTAATGTTATGGTCACACGGGTTCTATCATTGTTGTTGTTGCGGCCTCACGCCTGTGTGCCTACATTTAGCAATCGGATTGAAACGAAGGTTGATGAGTTTGATCACGGTCACGGTTACTTCTAGCATGGAATGTACTTTCCATGCTTCTAGTAAGCGTGGTTTGACTCAGTGTACGGCCATTATCATGTGCAGCGCCCTTGAAGCAGACGGATTTCATCAATAATTTTGGACAGTTTATACGTGTATTATCTGGAGGTTGCAACCCAAATTTACAAACAGCTGAGAAACAGTCACCAATGCCAAGTGATTGTTGTATTTTATTGCAGAAATAATCATTTGTCAAAAACAATAATGTTTTCTAAAGTGACAAAACTTTTGAACTAAGAAATTTCTTGACAATTCACACATGGAAGCAAAATTTAATAGCTATTGGTTATTTGGGCAAAATTTCACATATTTTGACGTCACATAAATTTCATGAATGAATCTTCTACATAAATGTTTGTAAATAATAATAATCTTTATTGAAACCGTATCCCAGAGTGCGATCTTAGTTGAAAATACAATAAGTAACACAAACACACACAAGATAATCACAGACATTTGAATGTAAAGAAAAGAAGAAAAAAAAAAAAATTATTTGGTGGTTGGTTGGTTGAGGCATCTGGCATTTTAGGATGTTTTCTTGTCGTAATTTGAAACAAGTGTGGATGAATTTTCCTAGCTCAATGATTGTTTTGTCATTTTTACTTTTTAGTATATCTGTAAGGTGTTCATAATCCGTCCTCAAGTTGCTTTTATTGTATTGTATGACCTTGAATTTATTTCATTCTAAAAATTCAACATATTTATTTATTGTATGTAATAGTATTCCACTTGTCTGGTGGAAACACGAAAACTTTGTTTATTATCAATAACGCAGGTCTCGGTCGGGTTTACAGGTAACGTTTTTGTCGATCCGACCGACGGGTCTAATGTGTTTGAGAATTCAAAACGAACTCGACTAGAAATCCGAATATGATTTGCTTCAAAATTGTCAGGAATCGGAACACCGCCCCCAGTGCTGGATATCCGACATGCATTATGGGATATGCCGGCCTTCTTACCCCGACGCCATTTTAGGTCATAAAAGAGTTTGTTGGCACGTAATATAGTACAATCTACATTTCAGCATGTTTAGGTTGGCATTTCGTCGATTTTCAACAGCAGTTAGGCCCATTGTAACACAGAGACTCAACAAGCAGTCACTTGGTATGTTTTGTAGTTGATTTTATCATATTATTCATTTCATGGTTGTGCCAACTGTCGGACGGCGTGTGGCGTGCGTGACTTTCAACCTGCAATGTTAATTGTGGGTAGAGTTTTATTCCCTGAATTTGTGTTCTCCTTCTTAATTGTGTGGGTACTAGTTAGTTTTCATAACAATTCATATTAATCACCAATTCGTTCTATTTTTGTATCCCATATTATAGTGTGACTCTGGGGATATCTGAGTAACCCCGAATTTGAGGGCCAGTGGAAAATTAATCTTATCTGCAATCGAGAAGATGTAATAACAATCACTATGATTTACCTTGCACTACTTTTGGAAGAAAAATTAGGCATGGGGTTATGTTTTGCTTGTACTGTTCTCTCCAGACTTAAGCATGGCTGTTTTACCGTGCTTGATCACTGAAATAAGGTTACCATACCAGCCTTTCAGGAAACAAGACATTACTGATATGATAAAACCAAAATTAATAATCATATTTTTGCATTATTATTACGCACATAAACTGTTTTTCTCAGTCATTTACATGGGTAGAACAGTAGGTCTGTATGTTGTAAGGATTTTGCATAAAGCAGTATTAAGCAACATTTAGATAAATTTGAGATGCAGCCCACCATACCCCAGGGAGGGGTGGGGTAAATTCAAGTTTCCTTCATTCGATAGAGCAGGTTAAAACATGCAACTTTCATGATGGCACCCTAGTTGAAAACTTTTCAGAAATTCAGTTAAAAATGAGTGAATGTTTTTTAAAAGCTGGGGGTTGGGAAACAATTGACCATGGCAGCTTTTACAGGATGGGAGGAATTCCTGCGACACAGTGATAGTTAGGCTGGATTATTAGCCACATCTTGCTGAACAAACTTTTTGAAATGCAATTTAAATAAAAAATCTCAATTTTGTTGTTTTTTATTCAAAAAAAAAATATCTTCTGCAGTTGGGTGATGTGAGGTGGCTGGCATTATTGTCTGTGCCAATCAGAAGATGCAACATGCCATCATATCAAGCTTTCATTGTAGATGTATTGACTGGGTGACTGTTGACCATGGAAACGCAACAAAGGAATTAAAATTAATCAAGAATATTATCTTTTATTTTTAGCTATTGCTAGTGTGAGAAACTTTTCAGAAAATCCAGATGAAACAGATGAGCAATTTGATGCCAGATGGGAAGCATATTTCAACAAACCAGATATTGATGATTGGGAGCTTCGTAGAGGACTGAATGAACTCCATGGTCATGATTGTGTCCCAGAACCCAAGATTATTATTGCTGCCTTGAAAGCCTGTCGTCGACTCAATGATAGTGCAATGGCAATACGTTTACTGGAAGCTGTTAAGGTATTATTTGTTGTAACATTTATGATATCAGTGGCACATTCCAGTGTTCTCCCCAGAAAATTGAAATATCGGTATTGGCTAGTCTACATAATAATAGACTATGTTAATTACTTCTATTTTGCTCATAAATTAGTTCTATTGTTTGTTGGGAACTCTACTCTATAATTCCCTGGGGAGAACGCTGCACTGTACTGTGAAATCAATGCCACCTAATACACCATTGGTACCATCCATGGTGTGCACTTACAATAGAGAAACTTTGAATTTGGTGCTGCACCACGGTATACCTGGTGTTTTGTTTAAGAAACATTAGAAATAGTGTGCTGTAGTTTTTTTAGGTTAAGGTATAGATGCAGGCTCGTGGGCACTTGGGAGTGAATTTACTTTTTTTTGCTTTTTCTATTCAAACAATCTTGGCTATAGACTGTTAAAATTTCGCAACATTATGAATAGTGGAACATACTCAAAAGATGATGTTAAAATATAGAAAACAGGTACAAACATTCTCTCTTTTGAATGCTTAGCAAGATTTAGCAAGGCTGTACATAAATGATCAAAAAGAAACATGGTGAAAAAAAGTAATGACGGGATCTCCATATTATGCACTATATTTAACTTTTTACAAAATG